TTGTTTCTGTTTCTTTTAATGCATCTTTGTTCTTTTTCGTTAATTTTTAGTTGATGCACAGTCGGAAAGGCAAACATCAATTTATTCACCTCCATTTTATTCCTCTCCCAATGGTTATAAAATGAGAGCTCGTCTTTATTTAAATGGTGATGGAAATGCTCGTCGTACACACATGTCACTCTTTTTTGTACTCATGCGAGGTTTGAACGATCCAATTCTCAAATTTCCATTCAATTATACAGTCACATTTTGTTTGTACGATCAAACGTCTACACAACGACATATTATCGATTCATTTCGACCAGACATTAAATCGAGTAGTTTTCAGCGACCTCGGTCGGATGTGAATATAGCCAATGGTATACCAAAATTTTTTCCGTTGGAAATAATTCAACAGGAAGGAAATCCTTATGTACGAGACGATACAATGTTTATCAAAGTTATGGTGGATTCTAGAGAAACAGACAAAACATTATTACCCTATGTTTTAGGCCTCAATCCGGGCCTACCAACGCATGTTCAACAAATAATGATTAAGAAAGAAGCTGATCGAAGAACACAATTACGATCAGATGAACAATCGCAAATATTTCAGCAATGAGGTACCGCTTAGTTTATATCAATAACCAAGAATGGCTTGTTTTAAATCTATATCAAATTTTTAAGTTTCAAATATTTATCAGATCTTACTTGGAGCTTTTTCTATTTTTTTATAATCATGCAAAGCTGACTGATCTTCTTTATAAGGTGAAGTTATTTCGTTCTTTGATAACAGAAAATTGTACTAAAAAGATTTTTTTTTAAATCACTATTCCAATAGTTTTTCGAGAATATTCGAAAGATTAATAAATGGATATTATTTATTCTATTTTATTTGAGAAAAATAATTGACTATAGAACGAAATGTCTATAATTCTTTTTTAACAATGATTCAACGTCTATTTAGACTTATCCGAAATTTTTTTCAACTTACAAAAAACGAATTATACACTCACATCATTCGCCCACATTTGCCTTTGATAAATAAAGCATAGGTAATCCTTTTTCATCGACAATTATAATGATATCAAAAGAAACTTATAGTTGAACATTCTTCTCACAAGTTTTTTCTTTTCAGTACGTACCAGACCTCGAAACGAGATGCCTGGTCAAACCTTCTTAACCTTTTTTTTAAAGTAGGAAAATTAGGAGATGGACCTCCTAATTGTAGTTATCAAAATTGTGTTTCTTCTTATTCACAGACTATTTTCGACTGCGTACTACCTTGCTGGAACATCTAAATTGAAAAAACAAGTTTGCATTCAGAATTACGGTATGATTCTCACGAAGTTTACGTTAGTAAAAAAAATGTTGTGCCCTAAGATATCAGGTTGTGTATGATGATCATTATTTGGATGTAGGTGCAGATGTGGGTGTGCAATTTTGGGAATGGATATCAGTTTTGAGCTGATATTTTAACCAAAAGTAGGGTTGTATGAGATAGAACGAATACAAAAGGACTTATGTTAAGATCTTATTCTAATCAAGCTGTTCCTGTTGTATAGAGTTTTCGACTTCACAAAACGTCGAATGCATGAATTTTTAGTGAAGCTTTTTCTTGTGTAAAACTGTAACAACTCGATTTGTATGGTATATCAAGAAAGATCTTTCCATACCGTTCTAGACACATATAATCTTAGTCATCGGCAAAAGATAAGCTCCAAATCTTTATTCAATAGACGAGATGTCCCGTATCAAAATTATGATAGCTAGAAAGAAAACAAAGTTTTTGTATTTCAGTCGAAGATGACACAATTGAGCAAGAATTGTGAACTTTGTTCGCATGAATAAAAGCTTGACAATAATACCTATCATATAAAAAGAGAATAATCAATTTAATTTTATAAATAGGGATGCTGCGTCAAATTATTTCACACGACCAATTTTTTTGGGTGTGGGGTGTGGATGTCGATGTGGCGTGGATGTGGGTGCGGATGTATTTACTTCATCCCCAGCCACATCCACACCTTAATATCGATTCAAATTCTTAGTTGATTAAAAATTTAACACTTTTCGATCAAAGACATAAAACATGTGTTTCTTCTCCTATTTTTCTGTTTTGTCTAGTAATATTTTATTTTCATCTGATATTGCATTCAAAGAAGAAGAATACAGAAAAAAATATAAGACGAAAAAAATGCATTCTAATAAAAAAAATAATTATTTATTTAATTCATTAATTAGTCATATTGATAAAAAATAAAAGGCAAAAAATAAAAGAATTGAAGAAATGTAACTGAAATCGCTGAATCCAGAATGCTTCAAGTGCTTGAAATAAAATCTTAATATACAACACGAATGTCGAGAAATAAAACCAAATCATTGAATAAAAACAATAAACAACATGATAAGAGTTCAATTAACGAAGTTCGAAAAATACGTGTTGTTTACATTTGAAGATCATATTTTAGTGAATAAAATTTTGTTTTCATTTCAAAATTGACATATATTTGATATTCCTATTTTACCTATAATTTAACTTAAATTGAAAAAAAAACAACTTTTATCATTCAAATGCAAAACCCCAATCATTCATTTTCTTCACTATCTATCTATCTCTTCTTCAGTAGTTTCCAGTTGAAAATCTATGAAACAGCGAAGAAATGATGTGCATCTACAAAGCTCTCCTTTTTGTTTTTTATTGTAAAATAGTTTGGAAGAAAAAAGACATTGCTGTCAACGACAATGAAACTTTTTTTTTCAAAAAAGTCAATATTTCCATAAGCAAAAGGTATTACTTTTTATTACTGCCTACAAGCTATATTTATGTAAGTTTAAATGATATTATGAGCAATGTTTGAGTGTTTCAGTTTTAAGAGTTCTTCACAGAAAAACTGATCTTGGTACCAATCCGAATGTAAAGCCGCGTTCGATTTTGTATTCACAATTCTTCGAAATTTGAATTCGGACAGGTCTCTACAATAATGTGAAATGATGTTTTATGAAAATTTCGATTGATAACTTTCAAAGTCATAGAATTATGACTAGACTGAAGTTTTACACAATATATATGTTGTTCTTAATGTAATACGTAGCACAATGTGAAAATTAAATTTAAATCTTGCTAAAATCAATTGAAAGTAAATTTTGTTAATTAAATTGACTGTCATGGAGAAAACTTGATTTTAATCAATTAAACAATGAATTCAATTGTAACTTCAGAAGAATATGCTCAAAATTAATCTTTACAAAAAATTCATTCGAATAAAAACTGATCACGATAGAAAATTCCCATGTATCATAGTGCTAACCATTGTAACAAACATTTCAGGCTTTAAAAAAAAATACACAACCAATCAGAGAGCAATCCTAAGTTCACAAATAAATAGGATTAGGAAATACTCGAATCCACTGTTAACTTTGGTTACATAGTAGTTCTACTCAAAAAAGAAATTTCATCGATTGTGTAATGACATTCATTTAATATATCAAACAATATTAAATAAGTTTAAAAATATAATTGAATGAGTTATAATGCACTATTGAGAATATGAAGACTATGAGAATAAATATTCTCTTTGATATGAAGTAAAAAATAAAATTGATAATAGAGAGACTTTTAATTTTTGTCGGATAGATCTAATGATTGACTTTGTGATTCTGTTGTTGTAGTTGCTGAACTTTCTTCATGATCATATTTAGTTTCGATTCTCATTTTACGAAAAGTTTCATCAATGAGAGCTATTTGTCCGTTCTTTTTAGCTGCTCGTTTAGCAATACGTGATGTGTCTAGTTCAAATATTTCAATATCTAGATCATCATCAGTTCGATGTTGTGAATCGATAGCAGATGCAACTAGAATAAAAATTGATTCATGAACTACTTTTCTATTGTACATCTATCAACACCATCACTCACCTGCAGCCTATAAAATATAATTAAATTGGAATAAATATTAAACTTAAAACTTACTTTTAATTGTTCCCGAGTTTCGACATCTTGAAGTGAACTCATATCGATTGATCTTTCGGAAGTCAATTCAGTCAACCATGAACTTGTAAGAATTTCATCGATTGTTATTCGATTTGCTGGATTAACAATGAGCATTCGTTGAATAATCGATTTTGCTTCTTGTGAAATATTTTTCCATTCGACATCAGGAAATTGAAAATCACCTGTTCTAATTCTATTCTTCATACCATAACTTGAGTTTTCTCCATTTCTGGGAAAGAAAGGTGGATAACCACATAGAAGAATGTACATAATAACACCCATAGACCAAATATCACAAGCCTATTATACAATAAAATAAAATAAAAAGAATCATGTTTGAACTCAATAATGTACAAGTCATATTTTCAAAATTGACTTTCTCTTTTCTAAACTATCACAATAAAATATGATTAGCATATTACTTTATCATATCTTTCATTAGAAAGAATTTCTGGAGCAACATAAAGTGGTGTAAATCTAAACGAGAAAATCTAGTTAAAATTTTCAATATTATTCATTTATTTCTATACAATGGAGTTTTCAATGGCAATGGTTCATTATTTCCTTCAAAAAAAATACATAATGAATAAAATGTAGTTTATTCCTTATTATTATTTTACCTTCTTTAGCAAATCCAAAATCGATAAGTTTGAGAATAGCATCGTCTGTCTCATTTGTTAAGAGTAGATTTTCTGCTTTTAAATCACCTATGATCATAAATTTAATAGTTAATCATTATTGTATTCTAGTTTTCTATTGTAAAACTACGTACGATGAGCCTATATAATCAATAGTAGGAACGACAAATATATATATATACAAAATAGAAAGAATTCTCGAAAAGTCTTACAATATCCATTATATGTAAATGATAAACAGCTTGAACAAGCATCCAAATATATCTAGCAGCATCACGTTCAGTATATGGTCTATTGTTTCGTTGTTGAATACGAATGAATAATTCACCACCTTCCATACTAGAATAAATGTTCATCAATAAATATATTTCAATGTATAGATCGACAAAAAATTAATTGCACCATTCTGTTACAATCAATAAACATCGCTTGGATCGAAACATATTTTCCTATAATAAGTCAAAAGAGAAAATTCATAATAGAATAATAGAAAAGAAGAAAATTAATGAAACTTGACAACAATATTCTTACATAAACATCCAATATTTTCACAATGTATTGACAATTTTCGCATGCTTTTTTATGCAAGATAATTTCTTGTCGAGCTCGAGTTGAATCTTCCAAAATCTATCAAATTTTTAAATATAAATTACTTGATATATTTGTTAAAACAAATTGAAGAGATATACTTTAAGAGCACATTTTTGTCCTGTTCGATGATATTGACATTTGTACACTTTACCATTGACACCACGACCTAATACTTCTGGTAATATCTCGTAATCATCTGTGAAGTCATTTCGATGTGTTGGAAATGGAAATGAACTATATTTGTTTGAATTGTTTAATCGATTACAATAGATTTATTTTTCAAAAGAACAAATCAAACGAATAAAAATTTATACAGACAGAAAGACTGACATTTACTGACATTATCCAACCTGTGATGTAAATCTTTATCGATAAAACATCATGGAAATTTGTTAAAAACCTTATTCTTTTTATGTTAAATGGTTTTAGTGTTTAATAAAGACTCTCAAAACAATCATGTTTTTTTTGTACAGTTAGGTATCGTTGACTTAATGAGTAATTCGCAAAAATATATGATTAAATCTATTCGTTTACCCATACAAAAGATAGAGGTTTTTAGTCATTATGACTTGGAATCATAGGTTTCATATAATGAAAAATAGTATCAAATGAATTTTTCGATAGCAGAAAATACTTTGTGTAAAAGAATTTATAAATTGATTTGCCTACTTGAGAGTTGTTGCTTTTCGATTATTGACCATCGTTATTGATATAAATTATCCACAGTTAAATAAAGAATTGATAATTCTGAATAATAATACAAAAATAGTATGTTTTATGTGTATGAGATAAACTTTGGAACTATTTATTCAACTCGTGCATGTGAAATTACAAGAAATTGTGTAAGAAAAGTAGTCAAGGAAAGAAAATTCTATTGCATCGACCTAGGGAGCAGCATACGCAAGACGCTTGCAAAGCATAATGCATAACTAAATCAGGAGCGACAACAGTAATGAAGAAATATATAAGAACGAGCAAAAAAAACATAACAAAATTGGTAGTAGAATATAACGATGAATTTTATTGCTTAGTATGTGCTATGCTAATTTTAGGCATTATTTCAGTTGGCTGCAAGGTCGTACAATAATTATTGATATTCACTAGAATAAATGTGAATACGATGCTGATTTGGTATAGAAAATATGGTTGTCACGATTATGAATCAAAACATATAGTCGAAAGTCAAAGTAATATGTATGCAATCAATGGTTTGTTTGCTTACCTGGTTTTATTACAAAGGTGAAGTTAAAAAAATCAAAAAAAAAAAATCAGCAATGTATGCCGGTATAGGTGATGATGTGGAAAGAGTATGAATGTTTGTGTGTGTTGTGAGTACATGTCTTGAGTACGTCGAAGAAAAAGAGAAGCCAGGATAAATTTCTTCAAGTATTTTATCTGACAAGTTGCTATTTTATGTATTTATACTTCGCACTTGATATTAATTATCTGTAAGTAACCAGATTCTGTTGTTCATAAAACTTTTGTAAAATAGTGTTTTTTTGCAGATATTTTGACAAAGTTTCGTAGCTTCCTGCAATTCACGTTGAAAACTGATGTTTGAGTTTGGATTTGAGACTTTTTACAAATAATATTCTCAACGGGAATAGTTCATTCTGAACGTTTCAGTTTTTTTCGTTGATGAAATATGAAGATAAGTACAAAGTTCAGCACCAAACATTCATCAAATGATCATATTCTAGATATAAAAATGATTCAGTACTTGGAGAGGCCAAATAAACAAAAATAGAGAGTTGAAAGCAGTTCTTTGAGTTGTTGCTACTACCAAACCAATATTTTGTATACATGTAATTGACACTTAATATTGATTACCTATGCTTAGTTAGTCTTCATTACTCAAACAATATCTATAGAATGAAGTTTTCATTTTTTTCAAAAACTGCTAATTCAAACAATGAAAAAACCGTAGTTCAATTATACTATTTTTAATAATGATGAAATAACAATTTTTTTATATTCTTGATATAGTCTCTTAACTATTCATTAAACAGATTTTGTCATAGTCTATTCATCTTTCAAGCTTCTAAATAAGATTATTATCAATACTTTGTGTCTAAATTTTGAGTTCTTGTAAACATAGTTTATCACATCAATAAACACATTTGTTATACATATTATATGAAATTTGCTAATCGAATAGAGTGTCAGTCCAAAGACGCAACCAGAACTAAAGCCGCAACAAAAATCGCACTCGCATCGGTATCCGCATTGATTCCCGCATCGAAAATACTCACACGTTTTGTTGCAAATTGAATAACCACATGTGTAGATCTTTTAAATATATTATTCATCGAATCGATAGCTTGAAATCATTTCTAATTAATTATTTTTGAACTTGTGAATTTGAACAAATTGCCTACACCTATAATTTTAATTTATTCAATTTTTCACCTTTATCCTCAGATTATTAGTTGATTGAATATTTGGTATTTCGAAATCGAAAATTTGATCTTCAGTCCACTGAATGTTTCTTTTTCAATTTGAGATTGTTTAACAAGTTTACCTTTTTCTTTTTGAAATCTATCAAACAAACTGTCAAAATGAATATTCAAATGGATTGAAAAATTTTATCTAATCAAATCAATGGTTCACACATGTATACATTTCAAAAGTTTATGGGTCAAACATTGTTTCTTTTGTTCAAATTTTAATACTGAATTATCTTGAGAATGTGAGTGTTGGAATAGGTAGAGGGAAGAGTACTACACATACCTACGTCCTCAAGGATATATTCTTTATTTCTAATTATGACATGAAGCGAAGACAAACAAAAAAAAGAACCAAAAAATTGATTTTTTCTCACGAGAAACACAACAGTAGTGGATATTAGAAGCTGATTCGGTTCGGATCACAAAAATTAGAGTCATGTTGAACAATTCTACGAGATGAAAAATGCTTACATATGTCTATTCATTGCAATCGAATATATTCATAATTCTAAATCAACAAATAGCAATTGAATATGTTGAAAACAAGATTTTTATTTTGATATATACATGATAAATTACTTGTTCCCTCGACTGAAAGGAGGGTCATATGAAAAAAAATAGTTTGTATGTTTGTTTGTGGCTGTCAGGGTCAAAAAAACATCCTATTGCAAACGCATACTTACACCATGCTCCATCGGCCATTCAGAGGTTTCCGAGGGTGGGCTATCCACCAATCATATTTTTTCCCTTGTGCCAATCAGCCAATCAGGGGTTTTCGACGGTGGGCTATGAGCCAATCATATTTTTTCGCTTGGGCCAATCAGCCAATCAGGGGTTTTCGAGTGTGGGCTATCCACCAATCATATTTTTTCGCTTGGGCC